CGATGAAAGAATGGAAACTACAAACTTAGATAGATATAAAAGAAGGTTTAATATATAAAACACTGAAGGAGAGGCAAAGCACAAAGACAGGGGAAGACGCTCCAGGGGAAACCTGTCAGTCTATCCCAGAGGTAACAGGATATGAAGATTTAAAACACATGTGACAATATGACCCATGAACTCTAGGTTTGAAAACAATCTTCTCTTCCAACAGAAGAAGTGTCTTCTTTCATGAGATCTACTCACAGATGTTTTCTGGCTTTTTGTTTGTTTATTGTAGGGTAATAATATTACAGTAAGCTATAAATTTAGTAGTGTGGAGCGGCTAGTCTCCGGATCAGAAACTCGCCGTTCCACCAATGGGTCTGTCTTATTTATTTTGGGCACCAGTAGACGTTTTGAGGGTCTACGACAGATCCAAACTAACTTTGCCTCGATTCAGTCTTATAAATCTAAAGATAGTGAATGCGTATATCAGCCAGGGATATGCCGAAATCTAACAACACGACTCTGATGGGGTTGAGTTAAAGAAAAGGGGTTTATTGATTACAAAAATGAGGGTAAAAATATAACGAAAGGGGATTTCTGGTCACATTTAAGTAGGAGTTGTACACATTTCATTCAAATCGCACATTTAACAAGGAACAGTCTTACTTTGGAGCCGTTCAGAGGGAGATGGGTGATTATGATGAGGATGGAGATGGAGGGTGAGCATGAAGAAAGGATGGGGCGATGTCCTCATCCACGTGGTCTTTGTTCGAACTGGCGGGAGGTATGAAGCCAGCGGCGTGGTCCAACTGCGGATCCAGGCGTGCACAACTCAGTCCGGAATGAGTCGCGCGTGCAGAGTCCAGAGCCAGGGCCGGCTAGTTATGAAGAGTTCATAAATCCCAACCAGAAAGGAGGCTTGCGTGAAAGCGGAAGGCCTCAGTGCGGGCGGGCACAGTCGTTGCTGGAGGCACGTACTTATGCTGCCGCAGAGTTGACAGGGAAGTTGAAATGGTGAATTCGGGAGAAACAAGAGGAAGTTTGTAGCATTGTGGGTGCTTATATTGACTTTCCCAGGGGAGGCGTGTCCGTGCCATCCTCCCTGTGAGCGAAAACCCTTTACAACGGACATTTTGCAAAGGAAACACACAGGATTGATGCGAATGATCACAACACATGTACAAACACACAGTGCATTTACATCACAGACATTAAACACACGAGTAAGGTCCGTAACGTTAATGTCATTGAGTAATGTCCCTTTTGAGTGTCCGTCTCGGGTGCGGTAGCGTCCAGTGTCCGCTAGGGAGCGCCAGAGGGCCGCGGGTGGACCCCTTGGTCCGTGGAATGCATCCGTGGGTGACAATGCTGATTCGTGTCAGCTTCTCTGTTGACATGAACAAGGCGCCAGATGGGTATCCCGCTGTTTTATTGGTCCGTCTGGCGTCTGTAATCCTCATGATGGATGCTGCTCCTGTGGCTGAACCCCATGGTTCCTTTGAAGTTCCCGGGGTTCGGGAGGGCATGTTATGAGAGGGCTGCTATTTCACGCTCGCCTGCATCTGTCCTTTTCCTCACCTTACATACCCCCCCCACGGCAGAGATGCACCTTCCGACAAGGTGCATGTCATGTCGGATATGCCGGGTGGATGTCCTCAGTCGATCGTCTCGCCTGTTCGGGTGTTAGTGTACAATTTGTGGTGACATGCTACAACATTCCCGTCTCAATGTGACTCAGTAGCTCGCAAGCGCCTAACTGGGGCCAGGCTCGTGGCGGTTGGATCTCAGGGGAGGAGCTACGGCCACGAACTCTAGGGTTTGGGCCGGTGCGCCTGGCTCCTGGGTCTCTTGGCTTGGAAGACTCAAAGTTCCAAGCCGAGAGATTAGCAGGAGTTTCTAATTTAGGGGACTAGGGTGTAAAAATAAGAAACTTCAAAAATCAAAAAGGTGGCTGTCTTGGCAGCGGGTGGGAGCGTCGTTAAGGCACTTGAGGGAAAGGGGGTTTCCATCTTGCTCGTTCTAAAGGGGAGTATAGGGTTGCACAAATGACGTAGCAAGTGGGGCTTTAATCACGAGGGAAAGGTCCTGTACATAAACGGGGACGGCATATATGATTGTCTAGGGGACTGATTAGATATCGAGGTAGATTTGTTGGTTCTGAGCTGGTGACTCTCAATGGGGCTTTAGGCCCTTGGTTCACCTTCCGTGATAGAAAGAGTGACTGCCTCGAGTGGGTGGCTTTGGAGGTCCTCGTACTCTGACTCGTTGACTTGGGGGCGCCGATTTAAATTGCCACGCTCGACGGCGCTGTCGCCCCGGTTTGGTCGTCTACGGATCTGTCTCGTCATTGCCTCCGCGCATCTGTTAAAGCTATCGCGGAGTCGTCTAACCCGTCTATTTAGGACGAAGACCGTGGCTACGGCCAGGCCGTACCCGATTCCTACCGCGATGGCTACGACTGTATCGGGGGCAGACCAGGAGTAGGCCACTGGTTGGTGGTGGATGGTCGGTCGCTTGGCAATCTCTTGAAGGAGGTTGTCTACGACCGCAACGTCCACGGTTTGTGCCCCCTCGTAGGTGGCTTGGACTAGGGTGGAGGGTTGAAGTTCCAGAGCCCTTTTCTCAAAGAACTCTGGTACCTCGATCTCTGCCTCGTACTGGTTTGGGTACAGGTGGTATAGTGCCAGGTCGCCTATGTGCAGGATAGCGTCGGTTGGGACGTTGACCCAGAAGGTTTCGTCCGGGAGACTTACTCGGGACGAGGTGTCATGTTTGTCATAGGTCAGGGTCGCCGTTCTAAGGGGAGTGTTCACTAGCCATCGTGCCCCTACAATCTCTGCTCTGGTTTCGGTTATTTGCTTCCGAGAGGTGACCGTCGCGGGGCATCGACTCCCTGGAGTCATGGGCCTCAGGCCGCAGATGCCATCTGTACTGTCCCTGACGAAAGGTTTGCTGGGGCAGAGGTAATGGATGTCCTTAGTGAGGGTGCACATCCTTAGATTTGGCGTTAGGTACAAATTGGGGTTGCCGTCGTGGTAGGCTACTATGTCTGGCGTCTGGACTCTGACGTGGGCATTGTCCCTCCAGGTCCCTAGGTTAGTGATCCCTTTCAGTCGGTAGATTTTGTCGCCGGGAACTATCGGTAAGGTGACTAGGAAGGCTACCTCGCGGTCTAGAGGATTAACATAGATGGGGACTGCAGCGCCCAGCGTGTACGCTAAGTGGGCTTGCATGGGTGTTACAGCGTCCCGTGTGGCTACGGCTAGGATGTCCTCAACTAGCGATAGCGGCACGAGGTATGGCGGGATACGGCCCATGGCTAGGTTTTCGATGGAGGAGCTGAGGTGACGTAACATGTCCTCCATCAGCTGTGTGGTCAGCTGAGTATGGGCGTAGTCTAGTTGGAGGACGTCTAAGAGTTGGTTGACCGCAGCGGAGGTACGTTTAATCGCAACCTCGTGCGTGTTAAGTACTAGCATGGTTCCTTTCAGGGATTTTCCCAAGGTCACCACGTCGTTCTGTTGTTGGTCAAGTCTGGTTTTGACATCCTCGAGCTCAGAGGCCATTTCTTGTTGGTGGCGTCTGAGGGAGGATAGGCTGATGGCGTTTACCGTGGACATCCCTAAGCTAAAGAGGGTGCCCAGGGCGGACGCCGCGCCGAGGAGAGCCCCAATAAATCGTTTGGGTCTGGGGCGAGGGTCGCTGAGCTCTGTCCTAGTGATCGTGAACTTCTCTAGTTGCGTCAGCATGTGTTGTATGTCTGCCTCAGCGTGCTCCACGACCGTCTGGGTCCAGCGTGCACCTGCCCAATCTTTGAGTGTGACCTTCAAGGGCAGGTTCTTGCGGCAGACTTCACTAGGATTGAGTCTGACAAAGATTCGCTGTGTGTGGAGTCGGACGTCCGTGATGAGGAGCCCGGGTTGTTCTTTTAAAACGATCCCGGAGGCTGGTCCGGTCTCAATAATTTCTGGGGTGCCGAGGCCCAGTATGCAGGTCAGCACGAGAAGGAAAGTGGGCCACATGTTCTGCAAGGCGTGAAACAACTGTTAGGGGTTAGACAGAGACAGAGAAAGAGAGAGTCGATTAGTGCAGCCGAGAAGAGTGTTAGTGAGTGCTGGGCTAATCGTGTTTGAGGTCACGTGGTGTGTTCCTAACTGGGGTTTGAAGTGTGCCCTGCTTGTCCCATGGGGCTTTGTTTGTGTGGTTTGGTTTGGCTGTAACGGGCCCATCTGAGGGTGGGCTCTCTACCTTTTGTGACCTCGATCTGGTGCACTGCGGTTGAGAGTTTGTGTTCCACCCTGTATGGTTTTGACCCGCGGGGTAGCGATTTCCGGTGTGGTCTGGTGGGGCCGGTCCCCACGTGCCCTGGGGAATGTGCCAAGGTGTAATACCGTACCTGGTTTTTGACCTGGAGGTGGTCCTGCGGGTCGGTCCTGTATTGGTTTGTCCTCAGGAGGCGGGGGAGTTTCACGTTCTCGTCACTCCGGTTTGGGGATACGTACCTTAGTATTTCGGTCTCCGTCCGGTCCGTCCTTTCTACCTGTTGTAGTGCCTGACGTGTGTTGTTTATACCTGTTTGTTCCGTGGTAGGTGCGTCATGGGCGTGTGCCAACATTACCCCCCTCATGCTTCGAGGCACCACGAGCACCGACGAAGTGAGTGTATCGGAAGCAGAACCTAACAGCCCATGTCGTATCGGCAGTATGTCTTTATCACGGCCGGAGATTCTAAGCGTCGTGGCGACCATGGCGTTGGAGGGGTGTTCCAGTGTGGGGGCCGCACGTCGGAGGGGGGCGAAGTCCGACCTGTCGAGGTCGGGGGCCGTGCGCGTGGCGTTCGCGCAGGTTGTGGGCGTCCCCTGACCGGTTTCGGTTTGTGCCGCGGCGGGCTGTGGGCCGTTCGCGGGCGGCGCGTCTACGGAGTAGCGGTGGTTTCCGCCCAACGGGCGCGGAATGGGCAAGGGCTCCCGGACCTGTGTCCAGATCTTTAGATGTTGGTAGTCTATTAGGGGCTTAAATCGATTTAGAAGGTCCTGGCCCAATAGGAGCGGATGCGTGTTGAATGCGATGTTTGCCTTGTGCTCGTGCCACCAGGGTCTTCAGTTGCCGTATGTCCTGTGTAAGGGGGCAGGCGTACACGCCCAGTAGCTGGCTAAGGTTGGGGTGGAGGTTTTGGAGGTACAGGGCCCTGAAATTCGTGTCTTCCTCCATCCCTTCGTAGTTTCGGTTGCCGAAGAAGGCCTGTCGCAACCTGTGGTAGTAGCATTCCGCAAGCTCGTTGTGAGCTTGTTTGACTGCCATGGCTGCCGTGAGGGTCCCGGAGGCGCCGTAGTCTGAGTATTCTGCTAGGATGGCTTTGCAGAGCTCGTTGTAGTCGTGTTTTATAGCCTTTGGTTGCCTTTCGATGAAGCCATTCACCTCTCCATTGGACGTGAGTCTAATCAAGAATATTTTGTCATCTTGGGATGCGTGTGGTATGCGGTCGGCGTGAAATTCGATGACGCGTAGGTATGACCGGGTGTTTGTAGGTATGCCGGGCCGGGGGTCAAAGCGGGTTATGTGTCTAGCTATGCGGTCGAAGTCGCGGTCGGATGGTCCGAGCGGGTCTTGACCTATCGGGGGCGCGTAACGGGCGTCGCGTCCTCTATAGTCCGGGTAGTACCGTTGCCCTGGGGTCAAGTCCTGGCGTGCGTCCGGGGGGGTGCTGTGGGGTTGTCCTCCATGATTGGGGAGGTCCCCGGCGTTTCCGTGGAGGGTCACTGGCCGTTGTGCCGCAGCATATGCGGGCGGCCCAGGCTCAGAGTACCGTATGTCGTGTGGTCCATGTAGCATGTACTGATGTGGGCCAGGGGGGACATTGTAAGGTTGTTTGCCATGTTCAGGGCGGGCCCTTTCGTCCCAATGGCGGTAGTCTGAAACATGTTTCGTATGGACGTCAGGTGGGTCAGAGTCATGGGTCGGGTAGTCATGTTGGCTGCGTCGCATGTCCATGTGTGTTCCCGGAGGGGCGACGTGGGAGTCCCGTCCCTGGTTGAGGTGGTCTCCACCGTCCCAGTGGCGGGCTGTTGGCCGTTGTTCGTCGCGGTCCATGGTCAGTCCGTGTGTATGGGTCTGGTGGCCATGCGTTTCGTGTTTAACGTGCCTGTGCGCTGCGACGGGTCCGGCCGGGGGTTGTCTCTCATAGGCGGAGGGGTCCCCGGGGACCCGTGAGCGGTCTGTCACGTGGTACGTCGCCTGGCTCGTCGGTGGGTCGAGTCTGGGGTCAAGGTGGTCGATGTGTCTAATGTAGTGTTGAGGGTTGGCTGTAGTTGCGGGCGGTCCCGTTGTATGGTGGGGGTTGCGCGCAACGTGATCGGGTTCGTCATCGACGGACCGTTGGGACCTGTTCCGACCGTTACTGTTGGGTTGTGTATCGTGCCTTTGACCTTGGTTCTGGTCTTTTCCCGTGATGATACTTACCAGTTCGGCCACGCTCCTGCGTTCACTCTCGGACGATGGTCCGCCACGGTCGGAGTGAGGGGAGTGTGCGCCAGAGGCACTGTCCTGGCCGGTTCCGTTCGAAGTAGCGGCCGTGATTCTCGCTGCGCGATCTAGATCCATGGTCGCGCTTGGGATCGTGTTCAGTCCCGGTTGGTGGTTCCTACTTATCTGTTGGATTGGTTCCAAGCGGCTCGCGGCGGACCTTTTAGCTTCCGCTAGTTGCCGTTCCAGTTCACCTACCGTGTCTTGAAGCCTTTGGTTCTGGGCTTCGGAGTCGCGTAAGGTTATTCTGGAGACCGTGGCTAGCTGTCCCAGCCACTGGGTCAGGGTCTTACCTTCAAGTTTCTTCGTTATAGCCTCGGATGCCAATGTGGAGGTGGCATCTAGTAAGTCAGAGGGTGAGCCGTGCTCAAGCATGTCGTAGGTTCCTGGGGATAACTTCTCTGTGACGTCGCGCAGAAAGTTATCCACTACGTCGTGTTCCTCCACGACACTGTCGTGCTCGCTCGGTCGTGGCGAGTTTCCGCCATCGGTTTCCATATTTGTGTGGGTTAGTGTATGCGAGTATGACTTGGAACGTGTGTGCATGACACAGTGGGAGGGGGAAAGGAGGAAAGCAGTGTTATAGAGAGGGTAGCACAGCTGTTTGTGTGGTGGTGCAAACCTTGGTGTGTGTCAAAGCCGTGACTACAGCGTCCTCTCCGTGTGGCGGTGTATGCGAGTGGGCGGCCTAGGGCAGGGGCCGGGCGTTAGTACTTCTTCACCTGTGTGTCAGCGGAGAGCGTTGGGGTTAGTGGCGTTGGCGCACGTAGGGTTAGCAGTGGCGCCAGCGGCAGCAGCGGTATTAGGGCGCGGCGTTACTCCGCAGCGGTAGACGCGGCGTAAGAGACGCAGCGTGAGATGCACCTGCGTGGGAGACACACCTGCGTGAGAGACGCACCTGCGTTTAGGGACGCACTCGCGGCGGGTCGCACCTGCGTTCGGGTCGCACTTGCGTTCGGGTCGCACTTGCGTTCGGGTCGCACTTGCGTTCGGGTCGCACTTGCGTTTGTGGCGCGGCGTAGCTTTAGACGCAGCTCCAGTAAGCAGTAGCAAAAAGGCAGCAGGCTGAGGCAAGGCAATGCAGTTTTAGTGACAGTGAGGGTTAGAAATAGAGTATTAGTTTTGATGTAGTACAATCAAACATAGAGTTTGGCAGAGTAGAGTGTTAGTTTCACCACTAGGTGGGAGAGCAGTATCTGTCAGATCACACGCCGATGTGGTTGAACGATAACGCGCATCATGCAGGAGCAGGAGTACAGAATAGGATTAGTTACCACAGCAATGTGTTATTATCAGTGGCAAGGAGGGGGGGGGCGGGGGTGTGTGGGAGTGCAGTGTTTGTTAAATCACCACACAGATGTGTTACCGTAAACTAGCAGTAGTGAGTGAGCAGGAATAAAGCATAGAATGCGTTTCACCAGCGACATGCAGCAGAAGGAGAGCAGAGTTTACAGCATTAACCTTGGCTAACGCAGTAATGTAGCCTAACAATTATGTTTAAGAGGAGAAGCAGAAGCAGAGTGTTAGCTGTTGTTATGTATAGCAGTAATGTGTTCTAATAGCAACATGCGCTAGAACAGGGGTGTCATTCATACGGCCCGCGGGCCGGAACCGGCCCGCCAAGAGATTTGACACGGCCCGTGGCTCATTTATGTAAAAATATAATAAAAATACATTTTAAAAAGCCGCTCCGCGCCGCGAGGCGCCGCGACGCCGCAGCGCCGCGCTCAGGGGTGAGTCCAGTGCGTCTGTAGTGGCTCCACCAGAGCGGTGCTGAAGGAATAACATCTTAAACTACAAGACTCGGCGAAAAATACGGCACTTTGAGCGAAGAATTGAGAAAACAGAAGATAAACCTGTCTGGCCCTGAAGACACAGCAGTCTGTTTGTGCCCAGAGCGAGAGGTTAGTTCTGCTGCTGTAAAGGGAAGCTACCTGTGCTAACAACATTAGCATTAGCATCGCAGCCGCACAGTGAGAGAGAGTTTGTTAAAACTCTCACAGGCTGCAGACATGGTCTGAGAAACCACTCGCTTTTACCAACATGTTGCCATTGATAAGAGACTGATGTTACTGATGTCACATATTCATTTGTGGTGTTACTGAAACTATCAGAGGAGTTTTGAGCGCTGCTGCTGGTGCTGCTGCTGGTTCTGCTGTTGTTGCTGGTGTGTTGGACAGTGTGGACGGGTACCGATGGTAAAAACAGGTGTAGTGACAAAGCTGCAAATGGAGGTGATGATTTTTGGACATTTGACTGTATTTTACACAGAGACACTGCTGCAGTCGTTAAGAATGAATCACGTTATGGAAGTAAAACTTGCTAAGAAGTACAGATGATGGGTGAGAAACCTTCCTTTGCTTTGGTTATGGAAGTTGTTTTATTCATTTCAACTGAATCATGGTCAGTTTGATGCTTTCTCTGTGATAAATAACATAACCATGGACCTTACACACTGAAGATGGTTAATGTGATAATAACATAACCATGGACCTGACCACACTGAAGATGGTTAATGTGATAATAACATAACCATGGACCTTACCACACTGAAGAAGGTTAATGTGATAATAACATAACCATGGACCTTACACACTGAAGATGGTTAATGTGATAATAACATAACCATGGACCTTACACACTGAAGATGGTTAATGTGATAATAACATAACCATGGACCTTACCACACTGAAGATGGTTAATGTGATAATAACATAACCATGGACCTTACCACACTGAAGATGGTTAATGTGATAATAACATAACCATGGACCTTACCACACTGAAGATGGTTAATGTGATAATAACATAACCATGGACCTTACACACTGAAGATGGTTAATGTGATAATAAACATAACCATGGACCTTACCACACTGAAGATGGTTAATGTGATAATAACATAACCATGGACCTTACCACACTGAAGATGGTTAATGTGATAATAACATAACCATGGACCTTACCACACTGAAGATGGTTAATGTGATAATAACATAACCATGGACCTTACCACACTGAAGATGGTTAATGTGATAATAACATAACCATGGACCTTACACACTGAAGATGGTTAATGTGATAATAACATAACCATGGACCTTACCACACTGAAGATGGTTAATGTGATAATAACATAACCATGGACCTTACCACACTGAAGATGGTTAATGTGATAATAACATAACCATGGACCTTACCACACTGAAGATGGTTAATGTGATAATAACATAACCATGGACCTTACCACACTGAAGATGGTTAATGTGATAATAACATAACCATGGACCTTACACACTGAAGATGGTTAATGTGATAATAACATAACCATGGACCTTACACACTGAAGATGGTTAATGTGATAATAACATAACCATGGACCTTACCACACTGAAGATGGTTAATGTGATAATAACATAACCATGGACTTTACCACACTGAAGATGGTTAATGTGATAATAACATAACCATGGACCTGACCACACTGAAGATGGTTAATGTGATAATAACATAACCATGGACCTTACACACTGAAGATGGTTAATGTGATAATAACATAACCATGGACTTTACCACACTGAAGATGGTTAATGTGATAATAACATAACCATGGACCTTACACACTGAAGATGGTTAATGTGATAATAACATAACCATGGACCTTACACACTGAAGATGGTTAATGTGATAATAACATAACCATGGACCTTACACACTGAAGATGGTTAATGTGATAATAACATAACCATGGACCTTACCACACTGAAGATGGTTAAGCTGAGGTGCTGTGTTTAAGTGCTTTTTTCTATCTACCTACTTTACCTTTGTGAGCAGGTTTTCTCTGTAATGAGCCTTAAAACAAAGCTAACACACAAATATTAATATACATATTGTGAAATACCATTTTCAATGTAATATTGTAAATACGCTACATTATTTGCACTATGGAAAACTCACTGTTACATTTAAGTTTGTAACAGAAAACTGAGTATTAAAGGATAGTGTTTTAAAGGAAGTTTTAAATAAATGTGTTTATGTGCACAAAAAGTTGGACTTTGTACCGTTTTTGGATATTTTTGTAGAGCATCTCCTGGTCCGGCCCACTTGAGATCAGATTAGGTTGTATGTGGCCCCCGGACCAAAATGAGTTTGACACCCCTGCGCTAGAAGGAGCAGAGTTACAGCATGAAACTTGGCCAACGCAGTAATGTAGCCTAACGATTATGCTTAAGAGGAGAAGCAGAAACAGAGTGTTAGCTGTTATGTATAGCAGTAATGTGTTCTAATAACAATATGACATGCAGCAGAAATCCGTGAAGCAGGAACACGGCATATGATTAGTTACTACAATAACGTTAAAGAGGAGAAACAGAAACAGAGTGTTAGCTTTACCGATGTATGGCAGTAATGTGGACTAAAAACAATGTGACATGCAGCAGAAATCCGTGAAGCAGAAACACGGCATATGAATAGTTACTACAATAACGTTAAAGAGGAGAAACAGAAACAGAGTGTTAGCTTTACCAATGTATGGCAGTAATGTGGTTATTGAGTTGGAGTAACAAAACAGCACGGAAGTACAGCCAAGCCGTATTACGTTAGAGCCACAGCCACAGATGATTAAAGACGTGGTGCAGAATGAAGTGTCAAGACAGCAGCAATGTGGTCCCGGAAGTAGTGCCGGTGTTCTGCCGAGTTGTGCCGCTCTGCCAAAAAGTGACGCTTATGTAATGCTCAGCTGTTAATAATGTAATGCAAACCTGCGCATGCGCGTCTCACGGCAACCGAAGCATACCAAGATGGCGGACCGTGAATTGCTTTAAAAGTTGAAATACGAACGAATTAAGACACGAATGTCACTTTTAATGCAATTTGAGGCGAGATGTTGATGGTTCCGTTTTGTCACATGTGGGTTTTAAGAGTCAAAGTTTTGTGCAAAGTTTAGTTTAAGCAGTCAACTGCGCCTGTGAAACCACAAAGCTAATGTTTTCATAGCAGTCCGCGGCTGCTGACGTAGACTGATGACGCGTCCTGTGGCCACTCTACACTCTTACACTGGTCTGTCGGGTTGATAATGGAACATGGGGAAAAAAATCAATCTAATTAAATATTTTGTTTGAACACACTATTGTTAATCATATTAAATACAGTACGATACATGTATTGAATGAAATTTATTATTTCCATTATCAACCCGACAGACCAGTGTAAGAGTGTAGAGTGGCCACAGGACGCGTCATCAGCCTACGTCAGCAGCCGCGGACTGCTATGAAAACATTAGCTTTGTGGTTTCACAGGCGCAGTTGACTGCTTAAACTAAACTTTGCACAAAACTTTGACTCTTAAAACCCACATGTGACAAAACGGAACCATCAACATCTCGCCTCAAATTGCATTAAAAGTGACATTCGTGTCTTAATTCGTTCGTATTTCAACTTTTAAAGCAATTCACGGTCCGCCATCTTGGTATGCTTCGGTTGCCGTGAGACGCGCATGCGCAGGTTTTCGTTACATCATTAACAGCTGAGCATTACATAAGCGTCACTTTTTGGCAGAGCGGCACAACTCGGCAGAACACCGGGACCGGAAGGCAATCCTGTGTTAGACAATAAAAGAGGTGCGGCTCGTTTAGCAGTATGCTGAGACGCCTAGCGCCTTATGATCGTCACAACACAGAATCAGAGTGAGATAGGATAGTACGCAAGTATAGTAAGTGGTGTTATTGTTAGACAACGGGTAGACAATGCAGCAGAATGGTATTAGCAGTGGGGATGCGGCTCTGGCTTTTAGCACGCCAGGGCCGGAAGTTAGCCGTATGCTAAAAACAAAGGAGCGTAGCTAGCATTTAGCTTGCCGGCAACGGGACATTTTAGCAGCAGTTTAGGCAATAAACAATGAGTTTTGGTAACCGAATGCAATGTGGTTAAACAGAGCGGCAGTAATATTGACAGTGAGAGAGCAGCTATTAGTGGGAGCAGTATTAGGAGCAACGGCGTTGTCCGAATGTAGCTTTGAGGCTTAGCAGGCCCGAGCGGAAGTTAGCCTTATGCTAGAACAAAGGAGGGTAGCTAGCCGTTAGCTTTCGAGCGCGGAGGACTATCCGCAGATTAGGTAATGAACAGTCTCGCAGCGAGTTATACGTTCGCACAAGCACGTATTTGCAGTGGTGGGATGGTGTTTGTCTGTATTGTGCAGTACAGTCTTGGTGTGTGTATGTACAACAGCAGAGTAGCAGGAGAAAGAGTGGTGAGACAGAGTTAGCGTTAGCCACCTTTAGCAGAACAATAGCATCACATTCACACAGCTGCCATTTACAGCCTTTTACACAGATATACTCGGTTACAATCCTGTGTGACTTGGGTCACAAAGGGACACAGAGTAGTTCTGTACGCCCGTGTTCTGGACACGGCGCACAGTGGGTTATAAGGGTAAGTTTTTGCGCTTTCTCTTCAGAGGGAAGCGGCTTCACATTCCACGCTGCCCGCTGGCCAAGCGGGCGACACGTTGCAGGAGATGCGTAGTACCCGTACGAAAAGTCGGGATTTGAGACTAAATTATATAGTCTAGAGCAGGGGTGCTCACACTTTTTCAGCATGCGAGCTACTTATAAAAGGATCAAGTCAAAATGATCTACCTACTACAAAAATGCAAATCATATATTTATTTCAAAAAATATTCTTTATATCTACAATGTATGTTTATGTACATGCAAAACCGCATGAGCCAATATAGCACAACACAACACAATTACCTATGTACATTTGTTGTCATTACCCGAGTTTACTCTGATGACTTGCACTGAATTAAATCGGCCAGGGATGCATAGTCCGGAAAATTGGTGGCAACTCGCTGACAAGTTTGTCGTGGTTTAGCTTTCCTGCACTGAGCGCGGTTGTTTGCACATGTGCAGTCACCTAAGTGTCAGTAAAACATTACTGAGTAAAACACAGATGTCATTTGACTGTGGTGCCATGTCCATGTGCCATGCCTGTTTTTTTTAAATCCAAATATTTCCCCTCCTCCGTTTATACAATAATTTGCATCCACACATCTGCGTTATCAATCACATTCGTAACATTCCAAACATGTGCGTCTCTTACGTCCTGTCCTGCATTGGGGAAAAACACGGAAGTGGGCGGAGTTCTGATGCAGACGCCGGTAACGGCACTTTTACAGTCATAGAAGACACTCAGAGTAAAGAGTAAGATGTTTTTAAGGTAGTATGATCCATGCTTCAGTGATCAGAGGAATTTAGGGGGGTACTGTGGCGTGCGAGAACGCAAAACTCTGGTTATCTCTGTCTACACACAAATGCATTAACGGAGTTTTCAAAAATCTCCACTTTGCCCGGAGTTTTTTGTATATATTCGTTTAGAATGTGTAATTTTTTATTTATTTAATGCGATCTACCAATACTACCTTTGCGATCGACTGGTAGATCGCGATCGACGTATTGAGCACCCCTGGTCTAGAGCATGCACGAGCGCTTTATCGCAAGCGTGGGCGTAGGGGGAGCTCAAATTGTTTTCGAATTCACCATAGCAACGGGGCAGAGGAGCAGAGGGGGTGCGGGAGTGGGGGGAAAGCGCTTTGAGCGGAGCAGCAGTAAAGTTAGCGTATCCAGATCAAATCACAGAGTACGAGTTGATAAATCCGGTCTTATATGCGCGGATCTCACAAACAGGGTACCATATATGTAGGGTAATAATATTACAGTAAGCTATAAATTTAGTAGTGTGGAGCGGCTAGTCTCCGGATCAGAAACTCGCCGTTCCACCAATGGGTCTGTCTTATTTATTTTGGGCACCAGTAGACGTTTTGAGGGTCTACGACAGATCCAAACTAACTTTGCCTCGAGTCAGTCTTATAAATCTAAAGATAGTGAATGCGTATATCAGCCAGGGATATGCCGAAATCTAACAACACGACTCTGATGGGGTTGAGTTAAAGAAAAGGGGTTTATTGATTACAAAAATGAGGGTAAAAATATAACGAAAGGGGATTTCTGGTCACATTTAAGTAGGAGTTGTACACATTTAATTCAAATCGCACATTTAACAAGGAACAGTCTTACTTTGGAGCCGTTCAGAGGGAGATGGGTGATTATGATGAGGATGGAGATGGAGGGTGAGCATGAAGAAAGGATGGGGCGATGTCCTCATCCACGTGGTCTTTGTTCGAACTGGCGGGACGTATGAAGCCAGCGGCGTGGTCCAACTGCGGATCCAGGCGTGCACAACTCAGTCCGGAATGAGTCGCGCGTGCAGAGTCCAGAGCCAGGGCCGGCTAGTTATGAAGAGTTCATAAATCCCAACCAGAAAGGAGGCTTGCGTGAAAGCGGAAGGCCTCAGTGCGGGCGGGCACAGTCGTTGCTGGAGGCACGTACTTATGCTGCCGCAGAGTTGACAGGGAAGTTGAAAAGGTGAATTCGGGAGAAACAAGAGGAAGTTTGTAGCATTGTGGGTGCTTATATTGACTTTCCCAGGGGAGGCGTGTCCGTGCCATCCTCCCTGTGAGCGAAAACCCTTTACAACGGACATTTTGCAAAGGAAACACACAGGATTGATGCGAATGATCACAACACATGTACAAACACACAGTGCATTTACATCACAGACATTAAACACACGAGTAAGGTCCGTAACGTTAATGTCATTGAGTAATGTCCCTTTTGAGTGTCCGTCTCGGGTGCGGTAGCGTCCAGTGTCCGCTAGGGAGCGCCAGAGGGCCGCGGGTGGACCCCTTGGTCCGTGGAATGCATCCGTGGGTGACAATGCTGATTCGTGTCAGCTTCTCTGTTGACATGAACAAGGCGCCAGATGGGTATCCTGCTGTTTTATTGGTCCGTCTGGCGTCTGTAATCCTCATGATGGATGCTGCTCCTGTGGCTGAACCCCATGGTTCCTTTGAAGTTCCCGGGGTTCGGGAGGGCATGTTATGAGAGGGCTGCTATTTCACGCTCTCCTGCATCTGTCCTTTTCCTCACCTTACATTATACATCTAGTCTTTCACTCTTGCCTGGGGGCTGGGAGAATGCTGCCATTTCGCCACCCTCCATGCATGAGTTGGTTAACTAGACTAGACCCTACTAATCTACACACATTTATTAATATGATAATACACATAACATTTATTAACAAGAAGACTTGGTCCTTAGGGTTTAGAAGGCTCGGTCCTCATGGTTCGGTCCTCAGGGTTCAGAAGGCTCGGTCCGCAGATTTCTACAGAGTGTATAGAAGTTCCTAAATGACCAAAGATCTCTTCAGGCTCATCATCACCCTCAGTTACTATGCCCTGATCCTCAACACCTCTAATCTCCATGGCGACCCGTTCTTGAACTGCTTCCTGTCTGCGCTGGTCGAAGTTCCTGCTTACTTCATCGCTCTGCTCCTGCTGCGGTTCACGGCCCGCCGCCTCTGCCAGTCCTCCACGCTGCTGTTCGGGGGCCTCATGATCCTCTTCGTCCACCTCATCCCCTTCGGTAACTCTACACCATCCATTGAGCAATAGTTTCACTTTAAGACAGAGCGTAGCTGTTTTTAATGAGAAAAAAAAAATAAACTAAGAAAGTCAGATTCTGGTCATAGTTTGTCACAACTTTCTCTGAAATGATCCACATGAAACAAAAACTATCACAAAGTTGTGGCTTTGTGACTTTGTCCTGCTGAGAACACACTTTAGTTTGGACTCTCTGGTTTGTCTCTAGTCTCTCGTTTCTCTCAGGTCTCTCTTTCTGTTGTCTCTGGTCTCTCTCTCTGGTTCTCTCTAGGTTCTCTGGTTCTGTGGTCTCTCTCTGGTCTCCCTGTAGTCTCTCTCTAGTCTTTCTGGTCTTTGGTCCCTTGTCTCTTTCTCTAGTCTCTCTCTGGTCTTTCTCTCTATGCTTTCTCTCTGGTCTCTCTCTCTGTTCTCTCTCTGATATATCTCTCTGGTCTCTCTCTGATATATCTCTCTGGTCTCTCTCTGTTCTCTCGGTCAGGTCTCCCGGTGGTGGGCGTGGTCTTGGAGATGTTGGGGAAGTTTGGGATCACCTCGGCCTTCTGCATTGTGTACGCCGTGTCCTCAGAGGTCTTTCCCACAGTCATCCGTAACACTGCAGTGGGCTGCTGCTCCATGTCGGCTCGCATCGGTAACATCGCCTCCCCTTTTGTCATCTATCTGGGTACACACACACACACACACACACACACACACGCAAACACACACACACACACTCTCGCAAATAGATACTTTATTGATCCCCCGTAGGAGAAATTCAGGTGTCCAGCAGCAGAAGACTCATCCAGGTTTGTTGTACAGTCTGACAGCCGAAGGAACTAAGGACTCTTGACTTGAGAACTCTTGAGAACTCTTGAAACGTTCCGTTCGGCAGCACAGTGATAGAAGCCTGTTGCTTCGATTACTCCTCTGAGCGGCCATACTGTAATGCAGAGGGTGTCTGGAGTTACCCAAGATGCCCTGCATTAGAGCCCTCATCCTTCTCTCCAGCAAAGCTCTCACAGAGTCCACACTTCTCCCCATCACAGAGACACATTTCCTGATCAACCTGTCAAGCTGGGAACTGTCTCTGAGGTCAGACAGCCGCCCCAACACGCAACCCCGAAGAACACGGCACTAGCTACCACAGACTGGTAATATATGCAACATCTGACTGCTCACATCAAAGGACCGCAGTCTACTCAGAAAAAAAAGTCGGCTCTGACCTTTTTTGTAGATGACAATGGCCTGAGCTGACCAGTCCAGTCACACACACATTATCACCTCCCCGTTCATCATCTATCTGACTGAGAACGGCAACACAAATACACACACACACACACACACACACACTGTATAATAAGGGAAAATATTAAGACAGATTATGTGTACAGATATTGTGAAAATAACTACACACAATACAATACAATTTATTCTTGTATAGCCCTAGTCACAACAGAAGTCATCTCAGAGGACTTAACAAAACCATTGAAATCACCAACACAGGTCAGAGAATCAACAGTTAAAACACATGAAGAATATAAAGCACACACAGAAGAAAATGTCCATACATGTTGTAGAATGCTAAAGTGTCCTGATCATCACCAATCCTTTCTGTTGGACACTAACTGTCCAACAAGACCCTCCTGTCCGGACGGACAGGCTAATGATCTAGGACCTAATCTAGCTACAGAACGTGGACCAGTGGCCGCTGAACGTGGACAGGTCCGGTGCAGGACTGAAGCACTCCCAGGCGGGTCGGGCGGGGCAGTCCGCAGGTGTAGATGGAGGAGGCCAGGCTCAGAGATCCCGTCATCGTACCATGAAACAGACAATGGGACAACGGGTGAATAGCAATGAACAAACTACAGTCAAAATCCTAAAAATGCTAAACAGATAAAGTAGGAAGGAGGAGAGGATAGTGCTCAAGTTACCATACTTCTCCCAGCAAACTGACTCCCTATGCAGCTTGACTGACAGTCTGAGGAGTTTAGCCTTCTCTGAGTCTTACCTTCCTAGCCATATGCTAAACTAAAGAGGACTGTTTTAAGCCTAGCCTTGAATAAATAGAGCGTATCTGAAAGGAGGCGAGACAGCAGCAGCCACGGCTAGGCTAGTCTAGGTTACAGCACCAAGATTCATGGATTGCACACCAGGTGTGCAAACCGATCCAAGCAAACCTAATTATATAGAGTAGGTCCCATTTCGTTTTGTCGCCTTTCACGCGTGAATAGCACGAGACTCACGTGTGAAACACGCGTCTTTTATTTGTTTTTCCCCCAGTGATGCTGCAATGACCCAAACAACCACCAGGTGGCACTTGTGAGCAGGGTTAGCAACATTGGCTTCTCACTGCTCATTATTTTCTCTTCACCGGAGGATTTTCTGTGGCTTTATAGCTCATTGATAAGGAGCTGGACTGTGGTGCCAGAGGACCCGGGTTCAAGTACAGGTTGAGACACTTTTGATTTTGTTAACGTTTACATTTTTTCTAAAACATAGAAGGTCCAATGCCCCAGAAAAAAATAATAATAACCACACACGTTTATTGCAGTAATTTTTGTTAATACTTTTCACGAGGAGTTAGTGGACATGTGTGCCTTTAATATGAGCGGCATTTGTGGGAATGGTTATATTCAAAGTATTAGAGTAAAATGAGTTTGTAAAACACCTGCGGCGCAGCGACGCGAAGCAGGAGCCGTAGTTCTGAGCGGAGCCAGAGCAGAGCCAGAGGTCTCCAGAGATCAGAGAAGTATTTGGTACTGGCTCACTCAGATTCAGAGGAGGAAGACACGCAGGTCTCCAGTGAAGCAGATACAGACATTATTAGTGACAGGAGTCCACGCCACAATAGTCCACAGTCACCCACAGTTTACGTCCTCCGTGTGGCCACCGCGGTAAAGAGGTCCGGCTTTTCGGAGTCAGCGGTAAAGCCTCTTTATGCTGTTAATTACAGCAACATTGGAAAGAGAAGACGTGGGGATGAGCCGCCACAATGCACTTTTTAACATAAAGCGGCCACCCGCTTTTAATGTGCGGACCTCTCTACCGCTGACTCCGAAAAGCCGGACCTCTTTACCGCGGTGTGCGGCCACAGTGGAAACGTGGTGAAGGGGACACGGGGATCATAACACCGGGCATATGGGTGAATGCAGCAGGGTTAAACAACCGCGGGGAACGCAGGAGACGTGGCAGAAGCCACGAAAGAAAACGCACCGCTAATCTGCCTTTACGGACGGAGATGATGATGATGAAGGCAGTTCTTTAGAGAAGATATGTCATGGGGTGGGATGATGGAGGACTCAAATGCAGGAATGCAAAAAATAATGATTTAATAAAATAAAAGTCCAGGTGAGAACTAAACTCAAAATCCAAGAATACAGAACCAGGAACAAAGACAGAACTTGACTTGACAGAACAGGACATTGACATAACAATGGACCAGCAACATGTGGAGAGGGGCACAAGGTAATTATAGACAGGGACACAGGTGAAACACATCAGGGCGGGGCAGACAATCAAGACAGGGGAAACAGCACAGAAGTCAAACTCAAAACCAAACCACAGAGGAAAAATGTCAAAATAAAACCAAAGTACAAAATAACAAAATCCACACCGTGACAAGATAATTCATAAAAGTGGATCAGAAATGTTGAAGAGCCTGTTGTTTATTGTTGAGACAATCTGACCAGTTCTGAGCCTATTTATTTAATCGCTCTGTTTCTAAACGATGAATTCTGGAGCCTCATTTCCACTGAGATAAACTGTATGCCACCAGGTCTTTTGAAAGGGTAATATTGAAACCAAAGTGCAGATTTCATGACTGGTAAACTATAAGCAGTGCCGTGCCATCTTGATCATTGAAGGTCTAATACAGTTCCATATGGCCGTGGACCAGTGCTAAAATATTCTATATAAATTTGATCAGTGAATTTATTTCTATCCCACATTGTGTTTTCATACTAAAGATATTTCACGTAGACCGTTGATGGTATTCCCTGATCTCAAAATACACTCTCAAACTACATCTTTTTGAAATCTTTATACAATAATTAACATTTTCCAAAATGGCCACCACCTTAATGACGTCACAATATGCAAATTAGATGACGAATCAACATCCATCCCAAAGTTTGGTTCATACTGAAGATAGTTCTCATTTACAAAATGCCTTTATCTCAAACTTTAAAGTTATAGCCTTTTGAAATCTTGAAATCAAAATTGTAATTTTTTTTGAAAAAAATGGGCTTAGTGCTGTGTGAAAATCCCTCGTCAAAGGCCTGGGCTCCGCACCGTGCTCCTCTTTGCTGTCATCGTTGCAACATGTCCAGAAGTTCAACTTTTTAGCACTAACCATGTTGTGGGTTTAGTCCACGGTTTGGTCAAGGAGAAAATTAGCATACAACACTTACAGTCACACTGCAATCAGACATGGATTTACATTTGTCAGGCTGAATGCTGTTATACAGGAAACACGGTACAGAGATTACCCCTTAGCCAATCAGGACGCAGAACACAATACACTGGTTCTTCCTTAGCCAATCAGGATGAACACACCAAGTTCATATACAGTGAAAATCACGCTTAAAACTAAATCTGCAAGACCTCAAAAAAGAGAACCGCTATTCAGCTGAGGAGACTCCTATTCAGAACACATTATTCCTGTATGGAAGTTTCTGATTTGGTGTTTTTATGTAATTTTCTTACTATCATCATGTTTTAGATTATAGATTAGACAGTTAGCCAGATCAGATGTATCCCAATGAAAATAATGTTATTGCATTCCCCCTCTGGAGGAAACCCTGGTAAGTATTGTTAATGTATCTGAAGAAGATGACATAGTCTGGGATCGCGTCTTTCATTCAGACAGAAGACATGTTTTATTGTCGATGGTAGAGACAGCACGAACAACACACACACAGAATGCAAGTGTATTATACAGAGCAGAGGCATGGAGACCTCCAATCAGCAGCTGCCACAGTGCCATGTAGCTTGGCCTTCAGATAGACAAAACAAGGGAAAAGTACTGGCTTCTGCACATTGATAGAATGATGAGTTTAACTTGAACAAAAGTTGCTTCAAAGTGTTATGAAATCTCACATTCCCCCCTCTGGTCACACATTCACGTGTGACCATCAGGATCGATAAACAGCAACATAACATCATAACTCAATACTTCAAAAACTCATAAACTTGGTACTTCACTCGGTACTTCAAAAAACTCAGAACTCGGAATACTTCAAAAACTCAGAAAACTCATAAAACATGTTCAGATCTTTCATAAAACTTGTCAACAATCTTCAGTAAAATACCAAACTTCATCAGTCGATGGTGGTTTCAGATATTGCTTTGAAAACAGTCTCTCCCACTTCTTTGTTTTGATTCTTCAGGCTGCATTTGTGTCGAGCCATGATTCTTCTGTGACGTGTCGTTCAATCACACGTTTCAGCTTCAGTGTCCAGATTCAGAAATCCAATTCAGTCCAAATGATGTCCAAATTCAGATATCCAATTGTTCCAAATTATGTCCAAATTGTGTAATCCAATTTTTCCAAATGGTGTCCATGCAAAAGAGGACGATGGTATTGTCCATGTCTCAGCAGCTCACAGCCTGAGTGGAATCAGGGGCTGTGCAGATTGTCCAAGTGCTGATCCAGATGCATTCTCTTGAGGTTTTTCAGTTTTGGCTAAAAAAAAAACCAACACATTTTTGTGTAAAAAAAAATAAGTCTTCTGTTCACTAGATGTTACAGACAAGGCCCGCATCCTCCACCACCTGAAGAAGATGACATGTCTGGGATCGCGTCTTTAATTCGGGCAGAAGACATGTTTTATTGTCGATGGTAGAGACAGCACGAACAACACGAACAACAGAATGCAAGTGTATTATACAGAGCGGAGGCA